GTGCCCTGCTTTTCCACATTCAAAGCATAAGTTGTTTTCTCGCCTTCGTCTTTTCTCTGGGTCATCATTCCCGTTTCTATGGTGCGTGGCGTCTAGTTCCATGGGGTCCCCGTAACTCTGTGTACTGTAACGTGGTCTACCCTCATTCTTGCGGTAGCGCCCTTGCCTATGATTTGTCTGAGGCTTGTATGATCGTTGGGTTTGTTTGTACCTGTATAGTCGGTCATCGGCATCGATGGAGCTTTTGATTAGTCCGTTCAAGTCATCGTCCTCCCCTTCCCTATCAAGTTCCAAACGTACTTCTGGTTTGAGTCCTTTACGGTAATGACTCATGATGGCGACCTTGTCCCATTTAGTTGTCCCCGCATATCTTCGGAACTCCGTAGCATACTTCAATGCCGATCCTGTCTGTTTGAGGTTGAAGATCTTCTCTTCCGCTACCTCTAACTCATTGGAGTTTCCGAAGATCCTACGGATTTCTGTCTTGAATCCTTCGAAACTGTCGAAGATGGTTCTTGTGGGTTGCATGCGTTCCCTGTCGTCATGCTCGAAATAGTCGCGCAGGTATGGCTGAATCCATTTGCCTGCCTCGCCTCTGAGGTATGACACGGCCCAAATACTCTTAGATTCCTTTTCGGTGAACTTGTCTTGGTTGAATCTAAAATAGATTTCGAGTTGTAATAGGAAGGTGTCGAGTTCCTGTTGACTTCCTTGGTACTTGTCTGGTAAGGCAATCTTGAGTGTTTCGTTGATGGTGATCTCCTTGGGAGCATCAGTCATTTCGACATCGTCGAAGTTGCTTGCTGGGGCCTGTTGGCTTCTGGAAGAACTGTTGGCTGCCATACTGGCGGTTGGTATTGAATCGGTACTTGAAGCAGAAAGGGTGCTCAAAGTGTTACGGGAGCTGCCTCTAGGGTCACGTGGAAGTGGCTAGAGATCTCTCGAGGTGGTTTAGACTAGACTTCAAGTAGGAATTCAATAAGGTTGTAACTGGTTGCAATTCTCGTAACTATAGTAATGAAACTAATGATTGTTCTTGAGCACGAAGCTCTACATTGTAATGAAACCCATTCCCTTATATAGACCTTCGTACTTTGATCGAATCGTCAAGTCTACTCGACTACTCGAGTCGACAAGTCGAATCGACTTTCCTTCACGTGACACTTGTCCTCGTGACCTGGTAAGGCTACCGCTTATTTAACCTGTGCTTACTAGCTAATCTGTAACCTTTGTGCAACCTGTGCCTACTGTGGGGTAGGTGCCAATAAAAGATAGGTACCTATCTTTTAATCACTGCTTATTTATTCGGTTACCGCTATCTTTAGTTACCCTTTAATTCAACTGTCCCTACAGTGCTGTTTTCGTAGGTCCCAACACCAAGGCCTTAGGTTTATCTCATAATCCATGTTGCGGTGCGGGTACCTCCGTAACATTGGGATAAGATTATTTCTAAATCATATATATAGAGAATTATATCTATAATTTAGAATTATTGTTTATAAAGAGATCTTGTTTATATACAAGATAATTCCTTAAGTTATAGTATAAAATTAATAATTGTAGAACTTGAGATAATAGGTATTAAACTGATTTATTAATTAGCTAAAAGTCTGGATTTGAATTTAATTAAAGCTTTATAGGATATTATTAAGGATTATATTGTAGAATGATATTTTCAAATTTATTCTTTTTATTATAGATTGAAAGATATAGTATTAGAGGTTTAGAATATGATTATAAAAAAACAGATTTGAAAGTTAGTTGAAAGTATACTAGTTGTTACGGGAGCTGCCTCTAGAATCATATAGAAGTGTTTAGAGATCTCTCGAGATGGTTTAAACTAAACTTCAAATAGGAATTCAATAAGGTTGTAACTATTACAATTCTCATAACTATAATAATAAAACTAATAATTATTCTTAAACACAAAGCTCTACATATAAAGAAACCTTATTCCTTATATAGACCTTCATTCTCTACAAAACCATAAAGCTTTATTCTGCTTGGATCTTTTTGGATCTTATGAATCTAGATATTTATTCTTCGATCCCCTAGATCCTCTAGGTCCATCACGTGACTGTTTGGCCATGTGACGCGGTATGTTGGATACCGTCGTAACACTAGTATGTTATAAAGTTGTTATTGAGGTAAATAAATGGTATACAAAATATTAATTAAAATGATAAAGCAGTATTAGATTCAATTTTGGTGTGAAATAACTAGGGGTACACTTATTTATCCTTGAGACCAAGTATGGATAACCTGAAATCGATTTACACTTCGGATTAATATAACCTCACTAAATCGCGACTCCCCGAGAGATTTTGGGTTGAAAAGATCCACAGACAATAAATACGATCGGCTACAGGATTTAACGTAACGGTAGAAGATCTTCGTGTTTTGGTGTTCGTATAAGGACTTAAGAGTTGGGACCGCTGAATGGGGCCCCCTTTATCACATGATAAAGAACTCCTGATTTGTTAAATCATGGTACTATTGGCTAGGCGAAGGGGAACCGTTGAAAGATGTTTGTCCCACGACTCGCGAGTGCCTTGCCATGCCTAGTGACTGCCTAATGTCGAGAACTTTTGCTATCGATCTTTCCAAGCCAGAGAAATCTTTTCTGCAATTGTCTCGGAACTCTACTCGAAAAGAATAAAATGGGATCTAAGTATGCAAGGCTACCAAAACGATGAGAAGAATTCGTATTCCAGCCTGATCTAAGCCCCACACAATAATATAACCCACATGATCCCTTGTCCTTGCACAGCATGCACTGTCAGACGGTTAGACGAGGAGGTTTGCATGAGGCAAATCTCATATAAACTTTGTCTTTATTATACTTCCATGCCAATGATTTCCTCCCCTGATTGGAAAGTTAATTCTATCTATTTATTGGACTGCTGAAGAGTTTCTCAAGTTCTTTTGAATCCTGTACTCGAGTTGCTTCAGCCGTCTTCAAAGATGTCAACCTCACAGTATGGGGCTTTTTTGCCTCGACATCTCAAGGGATACTTATGGATTAGCTTTCTTGTGGCAATGTTCATTGTTATGGGCTTGAGCGAAAACAATTTTGTATTTGTTAGTAGATCATCAAATTGGGATGCGACAAATGGCGGTCCATTACTACAGGATTATGCTATAAATCTGGATGTACCATCTACAACTCCTTTAGCATCACCGCCAATCAGCGATGACAACAGCTATATCAAGTCTGTAACAGAAGAACCAAGCAGGATCTACAGTAACAAAGGTCTTGATCCGAAGGATGTCGTCATTTTGGTCAAGACTGGTGCTACGTCCATTTGGAGGAGGATGCCTATGCACATGTCGACCACATTGGGTAACAAACAACTTACTCCAAACATCGTCTTCTACTCTGACATCGTGGACAATATCAATGGAAACCCCGTCATTGATTCTCTCGCAAACGTATCGGCAGCTCTCAAAGCATCACCTGACTTTGAACTATATAACAAAGCCAAAGAAAGTCTCAACGACAACTTGTATCAAGAGAGTGCAAGCATGGAGGGAGATTCGTACTTACCGGGTGGCTGGAGATTGGACAAATACAAGTTCTTGCCCATGTTCCAACATGCTGCTATACATCACCCTGGCAAGAAATGGTATGTGTATATGGAGGACGATAACTATTTCTTTTGGGAGACACTTTATGCATGGCTTGCGACTTTAGATCATACATCTCCTCTTTTGATTGGATCGCCAGCTTTTAAGGTGGGCGAAGATTTTGCTCATGGTGGATCCGGATTCGCTGTTTCTGGAAAGGCTATGGCAACTTCATTTGGGGCAGAGAAGACTCTAGCTGACAAGTACGAATCATATGCGAAGGAGCATTGCTGTGGAGATCAGGTACTTTCCCATGCCATGAAAGAGATGGGCGTAGAGCGATTTAAGGAATTGGATGGAGGTGGATGGGCTGCTTTGCAGTCCCTTCCAACATGGAGAATTGGTTTTGGGGACTGGAACTGGTGTTCACCACTCATGAATATCCATAAAGTCCATCAAGCGGATATTTCTCAATTGTTCGTTTTTGAAAACCAATTCATGCAAGAGACGAAAGGAAAAGGACGCATACGTTATCGCGATGTTTTCAAACACTTCTTTGCTCCAAAACTAGTTGCTGCACGCTCAGAATGGGATAATTATGCAGCAGGCAAGTCATTTTCATCGACGGAAGATTCTGAGTCGCCTGAGTTAAAGGCGTTAACTGCAGCTCAAAAGAATGAAAGACCATGGGCATCGAAGGAAAATTGCAAAAAGGCTTGTGTAGACTGGGATCAATGTTTGACCTGGAAGTATCAAGATGATAATTGCCATCTTGATCATACTGCGGCGATAGGAGCAAAGGTTAATGAGGGTGTATATATGGAAAGTGGGTGGATGGTGGAGAGAATTGGGAAGGTTCTAGGAAAGAAGGAGTGTGGTGCTTTGGACTTTTAGACTCATAGGTTCCAGACCTCAAGGATCGACGTTTTGGATTTTGATGCATTTATATAGGCGAACGATATTTTAGATATAACAATATGATTCAATCTGATAATACATGATAAGTTTATTTTAGAGCCTGCATCTGCAAATTTAAGTGCCAGCACTGATGTATTTACATGAGCTATAGTTGGGAGTGCGAGTACGAGTACGTGAAACTTTTTTTTCATCAAGCCATCAGAGAAGGTTCAATCGTTCGCTCATGTGTGGAGATTAAAAAGCGACCTCATTATGGAAATTTTTAGAAAACATTGAACCTAATCTCAAACTACTCTTATCGCAAGACTTTCTCTTGATATCCCATTATACGCTGTTTGACCCTTTTCCTTAACCAGTTCGCCTATTCCATCCGTTGCACTTTCCCTCCTTGACAAAACGACAAACTCTAATATATTGCTAGTACGAATGCTCCAATTTCAATCAAACTTACATTCTATGGACGACCGAAACAATCACTATTCAATGCACAAGCCCAATCAATACAATTACCGACCTTAAGGTGGCGCAACAACCTCACACTTATCCTCCATTAACGTTTCATTGATTCGCTGGATCATCCATCCACTATTAATCACTCTTTCATCCCACAAAGCCCGTCCCTCAATTTCTCTTCCTAAAATTACCGCTACATCCAAAGTACAGCTCTTCTCATTTCCGTTATTGATTTCGTGCCTCCAAATACGGCAAGTGGGTAATGCGACGCACGCCGCGAGACACGCTTCAGGTGAAGTATAAGCCTGCTCAAGAGCACCTTTATCTTCCACGATGGGAGCAGGTGGATCCCAAGGTGAATTGGTGATCGTGGTGATATTCTCTGTAAGTTTGTGACGAGATGCAGAATTGTCCCAATCATCACGGCGGTCTTTGAGGTAAGGTGATATTGTTTGAAGGAAAATATCGCGAAATATAATTGGTCGCTAGCATGTTTCGTTAACTTTATTTAGGGTGTAGTATTCATGGGGTGACAACTTACCGAAACAAGGTTATTTTGACTATGTTGACGTTCCAATAATGCCAGTTGCATCAGATCCCTCTGGTGCAAATGATGAAACGTGAAGATTGGTTTGCACCATGAGAACTCGTTGAATTCTGTTTTCCAGGGTGGTTCAGGTCTGAATGACCCTGTGCCATACTCCCCTCTGTTTACAAGCACATTGTGATCACGCAAGACTTTACCAAGAACCATGTCACCGCAACACTCGCTTGCGGTGAATTTGGCATACTCTTGTAGAGTGGGGATTTTAGGTCCAGAGAAAACAGACTTCATCAAGGACCTGGAGAACACGATACCTGAGCCTCCTTGCGCAAACGTCGCATTGCTTTCTCCCGCGGAAGAGCCATAATATGCCGGTTCATCGTCAGCTGAGAGTGTTGCCAGCCATGGGAGAAGATTCGACCAAAAGACGAAAGTATCGTCTTCAATATACACAGTCCATTTGAAACCCGGAAAATTCTTTTGAGCATGCTCTAGCATGGGAAGAAACTTGTATCTGTCTAGTTTCCAGCCTGGATTATTCCCGAGCGGGAGTTCAGATTCGTCACCCGGGAGTTGAGCTTGCTCTCTGTACGCATGAATGTTGGTATGCAGATCTTGGTATATGTCGTACGCAAATGTGTCATGTATCTGCAGAGTATCGCTCACGTTTTTCAGAACGTCCACTGTCTGGATCTCAAGAGAAAGGTTCTCTTGGAGATCCGAATATACTACAATGTTTGGCAAACTTGATAATGTCGTTAACAGCTGCACAGGCATTCGACGCCATGCTGTGCTTGCACCCGTCTTGATGATTAACAAAATGTCAGATGATGACAATGATGGCTCCAAACTTGGCACTGTAGAGGCGATGTTGGGCGTAGCGCTGGGCTGAGGGCGGGATGATATTGATGGATACACCGCCTTCTCCGCAGACTTTGTAAGCTTCCCGTCTGCTAGCCATCCAGGTTCTACTACAACTTCCGCATGAGGTGGTACGGCGAGCTCGCCATCGTGTAGCTTCGGATGTACATCAAGCCTCAAGTAGCCATAATAAATCGTCAGAAAACTCAATATGACAAAAATTATTGCAAGACCTCGTGGACCTCTAGAGAATAGCATTATTCTTCAGCCGCAACATCCAGATTCTCATAGGAAAACACACGACGAGGGATATTTATAGATCTGATAACTCAACAATCTTCGAAGTTCGGAGAAACGGTGGGGGTTTATGCATTCAATGCTTATTATGAGTGATGCGAATTATGCCTAGAGGTATAGTCACCGCGCACAGCTAATTGTCGAACACTAAAATCACACTAAAAACAATTATTTTATTCTATTTTTCTATTTTTAATTATAAAAAGTTAATATTCAAAATCATTAAAATCAATCAACATTCTAGATGTATTTTTATTCAATATTCAGAAATCTAGAACTGATTTTTTTATGATTTTAAAATATAAGAATATTGTTATATATAAGATTGAATTGATATTTAAAGAAAAGTTATAAATTTTCGCTTATCTTTATTAATAAATTTTAATATTTTGAATTTATACTAACTTTCTATATAGATTTTATAATGAACAAAAATCTTAAAAATAAATGATCTTATTTTTATTAAAATTCAATTAAAAATAAAGAGATTAATATAAAATTCATTATATATAAGCTATTTTATTATTGAAAAATATATTAATAATTTATATGACTTTTAGTATGATTTTAATGTTTAGTAATTAGCTGTATCCTAGTACTATAGGAATGAGTAGATTATATAATATAAATAGTAAATATATAGTTTTATATTATAACGCTTTTTGAGGCCTATTAAATATTACATTAAAGATTATTTATATAATTAGTCGATCAATTAAATTAACAGAATAAATAAAAGCAAAACTGATTTCAAATCATTTTAAAGTAAGTAATAAGAAAATTCACTATAAGAAAAACTAATAATTAGATTATTAATTCTACTACTCAATACTTAATACATTTTATTTTATTAAAAAAAATCGTAAATCTTATTAAAAATCAATTACTTTATTACTAAACTATGAAATTATAAACTAGTAATAATTTATAAAGTCTTAATTATATAATATATAATGTATAAAATAATCACTCTCTAATATTTTTCTTAATATTTTTTCCTTAATTCAATTCAGTTATATATTTTATTTTTATTTAAAAAAATATATTTACTCTATATTTAGATTTAAATATTAGTATATATAATAAATTACTCTTATATCTCTTAAATATTATTCAATTATAAAGATTAAAAGAATAAGTCTTATAAGTTATATTCTTTATAAAACCTATCATTTTATAAAATTCTAATATTACTACTCTAACTAAATTTATTAGATATTTAATTATTCCTTTTAAACTTTCGAATTTTGAGTCTTTCTATTACTTTTTTTAACTTTTATAATTCGAAAGCTTTTGAAGCTTTTAAAGATTTCTATTAGTTCTAGATAGACTTAGAATAGAATTTATAATATAAAAATGAGAGATTTTAATGAATTTAAATGGTTTTGCTAGAGTCAAATTAAGATTATAATACTTTCACTACCTAGAGTTCGTTATATAAATTTTTAATCTGTATAATAATATACTCGACAAAATAATCAAAGATGTATAGTATAAACTAAAATTAAATATAACTTTTATAAATACTTTTTTAATTTAATGAAATTTTGTATAGTAGTTTATATATATATTTTCTATATAGAAATGAAGTTTAATAGAATTTGAATGAAAAATGAAAGAGAAGTAGTATATTAAAGTTAATAAGTTAATAAAAGTAAGTATAATTTTATAATACATTTTAGATATTATTTATCTTTATTAATTTTGAATCTTTAATTTTTATATTTTAAAATCTAATTGATAATTTGATAATGTGTTACTATATAAAGAGTTTTCTTTTTCATTTTTTAAAATAGAAAAGTTATCAAAAATTAAAATTAAATAAGTAAATTAAATTTTTTATTTTTTATATTTGATATTCTTAATGTTTTTGCAAATAAGTAAATTTACTTTTTCAAAAATAGTCTTTTTCTATTTCAAATATAAATAACTTTTTTAAATATAAATAAATCTTTATAAAAATATATATATATTAAAAAGTAAAGTTTTTATTTAATAATATATTTAATTTTCGATATTAAAAGTATTAAATCAATCGAATTATTAAAGATTGAAAAAGTATTTAAAAGCAAGTACTTTTTGAGTAAATTTAATAAATTTAATTACTTTTATTTGAATCATTTTAATTTTAATTATTTAGAAATTTTTACATATTATAATTATCATATTCATTAATTATATGTATTAATTATAGTTTATTCTATTCAAAAACGTTGAAGTATAAATGTTTTTAGTTTATATTATACATTCTTATTTATTTTGTCGAGTAATTAGATCAAGTAATGAAAATGAGGAAAAGCTTAATTACTTTTGGATATGCTTTTCAATACTTATATCTTTAACCTTCGTACTCTCGTGCTCTAATATTAAGGAGTGATTTACTTTCATGCCCCTTAGAATTTATAATAGAATCAGTCTAAAGTGACTAGATTCTATGAATAAAAGGGGGTATAGATTCTATAGGGAAAGAATAGATTCTATAATACGAGAGTAGATTCTAGTCCTTTTAGACTAGATTCTATAGGAGGGGCATAGATTCTATGAGTAGATTACTTCTTTTCTTTTAGTTTTTTTTTAAGTTTTTTTTTGATAGACTAGAATCTATGAATTTGAGATAGAATCTATACGAAGGTTGACGACGTAAGTATTATAAAATATACTGAAAAGTAACTAAACTTTTTCTTATTTTTATTAATTAAATTATTCATATTATTATATTATTATACCAATTAAAAGTTTATATAGTAAACTTTAGATAATAAAAGTATTTTAACTTTCATCTAATATTAGTAAAATTGTTTAAATCTATCAAGATTTATAGTTTTTTATTAGAAATCATATTTTAAGTTTACTTAGAATTAATAGAAGCTTTAAAAAGCTCTAAAGACTTTTAAATTATAAAAGTTGAAAAAAGCAATGAAAAGCTTTAAAGTTCGAAAATTTGAGGGGGATAACTAAATATCGAGTAAATCTAATAAAAGTAGTATTGAAATTTCGAAAAATAGTAAATTTCATTAAAAATAAGACTTATAAGACTTATCTCATTAATCTCTATATAGAATCTGTTATAGAATCTAAGGGGTATGAGAGTAAAACTATTATGAATTTTAGGGCATGAGAGTAATTTGTCGTATTACATTTACAATAATTATAAGTCGCTCAACTCTATCTAGAGGGCATTGACAAATGCGATATAAGGGTATTAACAATACGAGCCAAGGACTTGGAAAGGTCCACATGAGGCAGGGCAGGGAGCCCTGATCTGTTTGTGTCAAACACCTTTAAGGGGCTTTCGTTATTGTTAAGGTTCATTTGAGTAATAATTATTTGAGCTTCATTCATGACTGACCCAATAAAAACGGGCCATATGCAAGGCTACCAAATGCGATATTGAAGTTAAGAATATACAGAGTGGCCTATAGAAATTGTTTCATTTTGATCTTCGTTCTGAGAATACTAAGCTCTAAAGTCCCGCGACTTGGCCGATTAGCCCAGTAGGGAGAGACAAGGTCAAGCCAATATGATCGTCGTAAGTATAAAGACTTAGCTGCATGGGCTGCAGTAAAATTGCTCCAGTGACACTTTTTTCCATTGTTCAAACCTATTTTATACATTCTTTTGGCTATCCATTCGTTCGTATCATCTATAACTATCGGATTCTATTCTTTAAGTTTGAAAGAGGGGCCATGCCTGCGGTACCTGTATTACCGTCCTTGCATAGGCAAATCTTCAACAGCATCCTTTGCGTCGTCACATTCTTTATCATTTTTCGTTATTTCAGAAGATTCGTCACATTTGCCCCAATCACCTTGGAAAGTATATGGCAGATTTCCCTAGCGGAGATTAATCGCAGCAAAAATGTGCAAAGAGTCAAGCAATTAGAACAAAAACTCTCTTTACAAGATGCAGAGAAGGGAGCTCAGACGAAAGATGATGTGGCTGCGAAGTGTATTGCTTCTGTAGTGGGATATCGTGAGGAGGCAAGTCTATGGAGGAGATGTTTACAGAGTTATCTTAATTCCCCGGGTCTAGAGATTATGCTCATTGGAATCGATGGAGATCATGATGGTGATATGGAGATGGTTTCTGTGGCACAGCAAGTGTGTATTCCCTGCCCTAACCCTCAAGAATGTTCAGCAGTGATCTAGAAACATTAAGAGACTAACGAATTTCGCTCTGAAGGTATTTCCAGATCTTTTGAAAATCCATATTGAAGAACCATATGGTCCTCTCGCTGTCCGCATTGCGCAAAACTACATCACCCGCGAACTCTACGACGAAAAGTCCTCATCGACAAAATGGGCATCTACACCCACATCATTCGACTCCACAGATGTTCCTCCCGCTCTTCTATCCGAAGCCCACGCCTATGCCTTCCGCACTGTATTCGACAAAGCGCTCACAACCCTCCGTGAACATAATGCTTTATCACGGTCCCGCGATTCGAAAACCAATTCCCTCCACCCAATATGTCTCTACCAAGCCCACAAATGCAAAAAAGATATCATGTTTACCAATATGATTTTCGCGTCGGCATTGGGGCAGGCGAATAATATTGAATACTTATGGACTAGCGATTCTGATACAATTGTTTATCCGGATACCTTGTACCAAACCGTCGGTTGTATGTCTGCGGATCCATTGATTGGGGGCAGTTGCTCGGCTCTGAGCATCCATAATGATCAGGAGAGTGCTATTGCTGCTTTGGGTAGTGCAGCTTATTGGTCTGAGTAAGTATCTCAATCATCTAGCTTTTTGAAAGGATTAGATTTCTAACAATGACGCCTTACAGGTTAGCTATCACACGTGGACAAACCGGAGCCGTAGACGCTGTGGACTGTCAACCTGGTCCATGTGCCGCTTTTCGTCTCATAGCCCTTGAGTCTATTCTTCTACCATGGTACACACAAACCTCTCTTGGAGTCAAAACCGTCGTCAACGAAGATCGTCATCTAACCACC